CATCTTCTCTGTAATTACCCTATTTTCTCCGAAGGGGGTTAATGGGCTTCCCCAAGACCCGCTTCTCTCTCGGTGGAAGGGATCTGTCGGGGAGCATAGTCAGGTCTCGGGGACCCAGCAATTCTCTCTCTCTCTTTTTCTTGCTCCCCTGTCTCTCTGTTCTATTTACTTGTTTTGTCTTTGATCCCCGGTGAGGAGTTGTGCTCCTGGAAAGCTGCCCTGTGACATTTCTTCCCATTTGTGTTCCTGATGGTAGCATTTCCCCGGAGGCTCTCAAAGAGAAGGAGGGAGCAAATAAAGCTCCGTGTGCCCTGGTGGTGAGATCCAGCCACAGAGCCTGGTGGCGGGGCTGGCGCTCTGAGGTCGAGTCCTTTATTTGAGGTTGTCGGGCTTCCATCCGTGTGCACATGTGTGCAGATGCGTGTGCATGCACACACACAAACACACACACACACACACACATACACACACACGCCCACCGTATTGTTTAGAACAACTGTGATATGAGGGAAGCCCTGGTCCTCTGGTCCAGTCGTGATTCCTAAGGCTGATTGCTTAGCAATCCATAGCAATGGATTAAAGTCCATTGCTATGGACTTCTCATTGTAGGTCCCTCTGGCAGACAGTCTCTATTGGTTCCCTGTGGCTGCTATGACAGATGGCAACAAACCAAGTGGCTTAAAACAACACAGATTTATTATATTATACCTCTGGAGGTCAGAAGTCCTAAAATCAACGTGTTGGAAGGGCTATGCTCTTTTTGGAGGCTCGGGGTGGGGAGATCTGTTTCATCGCCTTTTCAAGCTTGTAGAGACTGTCCTCATTCCTATGGCCCTTTCCTCCATCTTCAAGGCCAGCATTATAGCATCTTCATCTCGCTCTCGCTCTCAATCCTACACTCCTCCTCTTCACGTTTTCTTTTATGAGGATTCTTGTGATTACATTGTGCCCACCCACATGGCCCAGGATAATCTCTCTGTCTCAAGACCCTTCACTTAATCATGCCCATGGAATCTCGTTTGCCTTATAAGGCAACATACTCACCACTTCTGAGGATTAGGAAGTGGACATCTTTAGGGGCCATTATTGTGCACCCCCCTCCAAGTGAAATGAGAGCATTGTTCTCCTCCATCTCAGGACCCATCTTCCTGGGAGACAGTATCTCACACTGGGGCCTGAAACTATTTAGATTCGCACCCTGAGCTTCCCCCACTTCCTAGCTGTGTTACCTGGGGCAAGTCACCTGACCTCTCTGTGTCTAATCTCCTCATCTCTGAGAGGGGTAAAACTTCACTACTAAGTCACGGATAGTATTGGAATGATAAAGCATGCACTGGGTGAATAATAAACACCAAAAGTAAATGGGAGAGATCATTATAATTAGGGATGCCGTGTAGCATAATAGTTATAAACTCTGAGGGCCTCTGTTCAAATCCCAGTTCCACCACGTATGGAGGGAGTGGCCTCAGGCTAGTTGCTTTCAGCGTCTGAGTCTTAGTCTCCTCGTTTGTCAAATGGAAATAAAACTATAACCATCCTGACCCCTAGGCTTGCTGTGAGCACAAACTAATAGTGGGGTGCACGTGAGTCTCCCAACACAGAGTGGGTAGCTTTTGTGGCTATAGTCGTCACCATCGCCATCACTGCCCATCCCCCCTGGGGGTGACTGAGAGACTTAGTGGGCTGCCTCTGGCCCCAGCAAAACAAGGACAGGATGGAACCACTTGCTGAATCTGGGACCCTGAAAAATCGCATGGCAGTGCTCCATCCAGTAGAGGATCAGAGCCTGGCTGGGCTGAGCCTCGAGGTGTCTGGTTTCAAGGTATCTCCTTGCTGCAGATCTGTTGGAACTTACAGCAGCCTCTGGTTCTTTTAAACCAAGAACTCTCCAGGAGCTCCCAGGACAAAATAAGGTTTTAGAGATGGTGACAAGGGCAGCGTGGGGGATGGGGCAAAATCCCCAGAAAAGGGGGGCTAGTTCCTAGATGTCATGGTCATCGGGGAAGGTGCAGAGCTCTGGTTTCAATCATATTATCATTTTAAAATTTTGCTGCAAAGCCCTGGGTTTCAATGAAGGCTTGGGCAGATGCCCAGTATGCAAAACACTTAAAAGCACAGCTGCTCTAGTTGAAACCAGGATGTGTGTGTGGGGAGGGGGCAACTCAGGCCTCCTTTTCACTTCACCAGGGGCCTCTAGGGGGGCCAGTTCGAGGGGAAAAAAACCTAACAGGGTGGCACAAACACAGGTCTTGGAGTCAGACAGACCTAGGATTGCATCCCTGCCTCTGCCACCATCTAGCTGTGAACTTTGGGGTTTCATTAAGCCTGCTTGAGCCTCAGTCTTCTCATCTGAAAATGGGACACTAAATAGCATTCACCTCATACACTTGTGTAAACTCTAGATAGTAAGTGTAAAGTACTTAGCATAGTGCACGGTAGGTGTCGAAGCATTTAGCAGGTGGTAGCTATTTTCATTTCCTAAAGGAGATAGGAATTAGAGACAGACCCTTCAGAATACGTACCTAATCCCCAAGGAAGCTGTGAGGTAGAGTAGACATTCCTTGGGACCAGGAGCCAAAAGACCTGGGAAATATTGGGTTCTGATTCTACCACTAGTGTTCTGTGTGACTTTAATCCCCATCTTCTTGAATTACTCTTCAGATATTTATTGAGGGCCTACTATGTGCCAGGCACTGTCCTAGGTGCTGGAACATAGGCTTTGGTACCTGAAAGACCTAAGTCCCAGACCCAACTTTGCTACTTCTCAGCCCTTTGTGTCTGAATAATTCCCTACCCCTCCCTGGTCCTCACTTTCCCCATGTATAAAGCAAGGGGTCTTCCCAGAAAAGATTCAATGACATCTTGCCAAAAAAATCATAGAGTGTATTTGAACTTGACTATGAGAGAGTCATTTTGCAGCATGGGCTTTGGAATTATATAACCCTGGGTTTGAATTCTGTGTCTGCCACTTACTGTGTAACCTTATGCAATGGACTTAACTCCTTGAAGCTCAGTTTCCTCATCTTTAAAATGGCAGTAATAATACACTCAAAGGGTCATGGTGAGGATTGAAGGAGATGATATATGTAAACTCTGTAGCAGAATGACTGGTGCATAGTCAGTTCTCAATAAATGCTAGCTGCCATCACTACTGTTGCCACCAAAATCATCGCCATCATCATCATCAAGGTCATCACATCATTGTGATCATGATGATCACGATCATTTATAAAGTGATGCTCTAAATGATATCTAAGACTGACATTTTATGTTCTACTTTTTAAGGGGGAGAATTAAGTGACAAATGTGGTAGTTCAGTCTGGGCCATCTGAGTGGGACACTTTAGAGGAGGGTTCCCAGTAGAGAGGGTTCTTCTTCACTTCACAGTCCTAAACAGATCTTGGTCTTCTTGAGATATCCTTTCCTTTTCCCATAGAAAGTAGGAATAGGGCCCTTGAGATCTGGAACACTGGAAGCTACAGAAATAAATTTTTCTGTGTATATTTCTCCTTTTTAATATATATTTTTGTTTATTTATTTTGAGAGAGAGCAGGGAAGATGCAGAGAGAGAGAATGGGAGAGAGAGAGAGAGAGAGAGAGAGAATCCCAAGTAGGCTCTGAGCTGTCAGTGCAGAGCCTAATGTGGGGCTCGAGGTCATGACCTGAACTGAAATCAAGAGTTGGAAGCTCAACCGACTGAGCCACCCAGGTGCCCTTATATTTCTTCTTTTAATGATTTTATTTTCTTGTCTCTGTATTTCACTTCATATCTTTTGGGGATGGGTCTTTGGCCAAGGCTCTATTGTCTGATTTAGACCTCCTATAATCTCTCAACTTCATCCTGCTCACACCACATGCTGAAAGGTGAGGCTTGGCACATCGTGGGCTGGCTGTCAATTGCTTTCTCCCTCTGTCAAAACATTTGCGTTGTAGGACAGTTTATGGAGTATGGGATCCTAGCAGCCCACAACTTTGGTGTTCTTCATGTTGCTTTTTATGTTTTGGAAAATTGGGTCGTCATATCCTCATTTTACAGTTGGAACTTAGAGACATTAAATGACTTTTCCAGGGCTGTATGGCGGTAGAACTGGGTCCCAGAAATCTGTCAAATGCTTACTCAACTAAGCCCCTTAGAAATTTAGGTGTGCTAAGCCTTTCATGCACTGAATTCTGAGGCATTCAAGATACAGGTCAGAAATCTGAAGCAACGTGGGTGAAGACAGGTCAGCTGGGCTGAGTTTTGGGGGGTAAAAACCACGTGGAGGCTCCCACACTGGGGTCAAACGCTTCCCAGCAGAGAGAGCAATGAAGGTCTGGGGGCGTGTGTGGGAAAGGGGCTGTGAACTTAACAGCTCCTGCCTCTGAGACTGAGCGACAATATTAGAACAAGTGTGTGGTAGGTAGGCTGTCACTGTCTTCACTGTGTGATGTCGAGAAGTCCCGTCCCCCCGCCCCCCGCATCCCACTACACCCCCTTCTCTGCTCTAACCATCCAATAACTTAACTTCGCTGTCTGAGGGTTCGCTTCCTGCCCATCCCTCCGCCGCCGCATCATAGCGCTGTCCGCGGTGCTGATCGCCAATCTCCTGATCGCCGGTTCGACCAGCGGGGATCTCTGGTGCGCCCAACCTCTCCTCCTGGCTTCCCACCTTTCTTTCTCCAGGCACCTCACACATAATCACGAGTGGGAGGGCGGCTCGGTTCCCCCTGCGCCGGGAAGCTTCTGCCCCCTCCCTTGCTCACACAGGGTTTTGCAGCAGTGGTGGCAGCTGCCACTGATTCGGGCACTGGGGAAAGCAATTGATTCGTCTACTGCCAGCAGCCCGGAGTTGCCTACGCGGACGCGGACGACAGAGAGAAAGGGAAATAGAGAGGAAGAAAGGGGGGGGGGGGGGGGGAG